CAATATGGTTCATGGGGTCACGAAGAGTCGGACAATACTTAACGACTAAACAACAACAAGACTTGATTAATGGCACATCCAGTTGTAAAAATCTTGGACAAAAGAGAAGGAGGGTGGTCTGTGCAGATTCTTTATCGGAGTTGTAAATATAGGAAGACAGGTAGTCCTCACTTAGCAACCACAATTGGGATGGGCAGCTCCGTCATTAAGTGCTGTGATCACTATGCAGAAAATTACATGACCCTGATGGACTAATGATGTCACTTCCCATTTGGTCATTAAGCGAAACCTCATGTGACCGCAACTTTTGATTTTATTTCTCCATTCTCCATTAACTCTGCTTGTTGCAAGCTGGTTGGGAAGCACGCAAATGGCCATCACGTGACTGTGGGACACTGCAACAGTTGTAAATGCAGGGTGGTTGTGAAGCAGCCAAATAGCAATCATGTGACCACAGAATGCTGCGACAGTCATTGATGTGAGAATTGGTTGCAAAGCTTTTTTTTTTTTTACCCCATTGTAACTTCAAACAGTCGCTAAACAAGGCAGTCAGTAAGCACAGACCACCTGTAAGGCCATTTGTTTGCTCCATATTAAGAGATGAATGACAAAGTACTTGCTTCTTGGAGATACTCTTTTTTCCATTTTCTTTTTAATAATTTTATTGCTCAAGGATAGAAAATAGAGAAGCCAAATACAAAAGAACATAAGCATTTTTTAAAAAATAGGATAATACAACACATTAGGAAGAATATGATTCAGTTTTTAAACAGCTCATTAATATCCACACAAGCTTATATTGGTTCACTTTCTGATATATCAGTAAATAGCCGATTCATAGACAGATAATGAACTTGTATCTTCAGTCCAACATGTTTAATTTGAAATAACATCTTTTAATTGTAATATTTTTTTTGTTGAACTATATGCATGTAAAATCCAAAGCTCTACAAAATTCACTACACTTTGTTTTTTTACATATACTTCAATCAAACATTTACATATACTTCAATCAAACATCTTTAAAGTTTATTTCCATTCTCAAAGCTATATTAACAAACTTAAGAATAAGAAGCCAAAACAGGATAAGCAGAGAACATGCTTGAATCATATGAGTCAGCCTACTCTACTATACTGCATTTCCAGCACAATGAGGTTGACAACCAATCTTTTCTAACCATTCTCCAAAGGGCTCAATAAACATAAAATAATATATTGCTTAATTAGCATTGTCTTCTTGAAGACATTCCTTATTAATGATGGACAATATCATTCTGAATGTTTAATATCTAAGTAGGAAGTTCTTTTAGTAAAATCTTGCATAAGAGTAAATTCTGTCTTCAACTACTGAATTCAACAACAAATGAGTTACTTGGTGGCAAATTCTTTAGGGCATTTAAAATTGCTTTGTATAGCTCATCAAGAAAAGGAGATATCTTGTTTGAAAAGGTGCTGGTTAGCCTTAGCAATCATATAGATCGACTTCCTCCAGGATGATCTATTCTCCACTTGTCCTTTTAGGTCTGTCAGTGGTCCATTCATTGCTGTAATAAGCAAGTCCCTTGCTGGTGGTCGTCATCTTTTTGTCTTTTCTTTTACTTTCCCCAGCATTATGGCCTCCTCAAGGGAGCTGGATCTTTGCATAATTTGTCTAAAATATGATAGTTTGAGCCTGATCATTTGTGTCTTAAGTGAGAACTCTGGAGTAATTTGTTCCATGATCTGATCCATTTGTTAGTTTTCCTGCTTATCCATGGTATTCTTCAACACCAAAGTTCAAAAGCATAAATATTGTTTCTATCTTGCTTTTTTAATGTCCAACTTTCACATCCATAGAGTGTCACAGGGAAGAAAAAAAAAAAGCCCTGCCTTTTTCTAATCTCTTTAGACAGACATGGCACAGCATCTGAAAATCTTTTCCAAGGCCTTCATTACCATCCTACCAATTTCTGTTCTGTTGAAATACAATACCAGTGTATTTCCTGCTGGTTCCTTTACTGCTGGTAGTTGATCCTAAAGGTAGAAGCTATCCACCACTTCAAAATCTTTATTGTCAGTTCTAAGGCTGGTTGCTTTAGCTGTTGTCATTAGCTTGGCTTCTTTATGCTTAATCATGGTCTCCTGTTTTCACTGTGTTCTCTAACTTTCATTACGAGAGTTTCAAAAACATTTGCATTTTCAGCTATCAGAGCAGTGACATCAGGATAGAGCAGGTTATTTATGTTTCTTTTTTTTTTAAGTTTTTTAAAGTTTTAAAATCATCCTCATCTTCTTTCAATCCAGCTTTCTTCAATATTTCACATATAGGTTGAATACATAAGAAGTGTATGCAGCCTTGACTCATTCCTTTGCCAGTATGAAGCCAGTCTGTTTTGCTATATTCCTTCTGGACTATGACTTTCTGTCCAGTCTAAAGGTTTCACATGAGGACAATGAGATGTTCTAGGATTCCAATTTTCCTCAGGACATTCCACAACTTGACATGGCTGATAAATTGAAAGCTTTTCTATAATTAAGGAAGCATACATCAACTTATTTTTAGTATTCTTTACTGCTGATGTATGCTTTATCAATTATACAGCATACATCAACAATAATGCATCTTTTTCCTTAGCCTTTTCTAAAAATACCTTGAACACCTGGCATATTCCTTTTCACGCAGGGTTCTATTCTGCATTGGATGATCCTGAGCTTTAATTTGTGAAATTAAGGATATTGTGTGAAAGCTTGCACAACTCTTAAGTCTTCTTTCCTTAGTATTGATATGTAGACTGACTTTTTCTTCTTCTTTTGTATCTAATTTCATTAAAAGTATTAAAAACACAGGGAAAAAGTAATACAAACTAATATATTTCTTCATTTTTCTAATGAAGAAAAAAGAAAACAATCAAAGAAAGCTAAAAGTGAAAGAAAAAGAAACAGAAAAGAAATAAAAAAGATACAAAGAAGTGGCTTCCGATCTTCTTTATAGCAGTTATAAGTACAATTATAAATTTACCTCCTTCTCTAAAGTTACGTCATGACTGTCTACTTTCTATAATCTATCCTGTCTAATCATTAAAACCCTAAATCATAAGTTCGGGGTTTTTTTTGTTTTCTGCAAAAAGTCCATAAGGGGTTTCCAGTCAGCAATAAATGTAGATACAGTGGTACCTCGGTTCACGAACTTAATTCGTTCCGCAACTCTGGTCACGACCCGAATTGGTCGTGACCCGAATCAAATTTTCCCATAAGGTTCAATGTAAATACAGTTAATCTGTTCTGAACCATATGTATTT